ACTCCTTACCAGTTGTTGCTTTGTCGTGCTTAACTGTCTTTCTAAGTCGATCACTCGTCCTCGTTCCTCTCTTAACTGTTTCTTTGAAGTTTCCTTATCTGTGCTGCTTCGTTCCAATTGTCGCTGCAAGTCAAACACTTCCGTTTGGTATTCTACCATTTGTTGCTTCGCAGTGATTAACTGTTTTCGCAGGCTACTAACTCGATACTTCAGAGTCGTGTTATCTGTTTCGCTGTCTCCTAGTAATTGTCTTAGCAGGTTAGTCAAAAGCTGCCCCATCTCTGCCACCTTTTGCGTAAAAAGGCGAAATCGTCTTCTTTTTGTTCTTCAGGGGCTTCTGTCAACTGCGTCGTCTTGCTTGGTCCTAAGCTGCTTCTTGCACTCCCCTGCAAATTTTTCTCTTTAGGAACTCCTCAATTGCTCATCTCTCATGTCAATATTTCATCAACTATATTGCCAGGGTTTGGTGCATGACTCTACCAACTGTTGTTTTCTAGTTCTTGAATCTTCGTTCCTTTTCAATTGTCCAAGTGAGAAAGCTTCAAATGATTTCTTAACCTTTAAACCTAGTGAATCAAAAGAATACCGCAAAATCAGACAATAAGTCCCCGAAAATGCAATCCCCTTCTCAAAGGCCAGGATTCTTCAGTTAGGTCAGCATGAAGAATCAGACTTTAGGGTGTTACAGCGTGAAGTCAACGCTTTCCCGTAGCCGCGCGGACTCTGGCGAGGAGTTTGCCCCAGATAGGCCCTCTTGAAAATAAGTCCCACAAAGTTTAGACGTGAAAATCCTTCCTCTATTTCTGTAGAACTTTTTTGGTTTCATTTCGTTAATATTGTTATATTTAGTGAGTTTTTTGGCTTTTTCTTCCCACAGTAAGAACTTCAACAATGTGCACTTCCGAAAATAAGTCCGCCAAAGAAAGCCTCTCGAGCAAAAAAAGCCTAATTACCGGGATATTTAGGTATTCAGAGATTGGGCAGCAAAGAACGTTAGTGCTTTATTATGCACCTATAAATGTAAATTCCGCTGTCGGGAAGGGGGGTGGGGGGGGGGGGGGTTGCGGGCAAGAGGTGGGATTTGATGCCTGGAACGATACCCCGGTCGGGCTTTTGATCGTGCAAAGCGGCCCCGGGGTCGGGAAATTAATCTGAATTATTGTGTTTGCGCTTGTGCTTGCGCTTGTACTTGCGTCGCTAGTGAAAACCAGGCTTAAGGCACTAAGCACTAACACAATAAGGTGTCAATTAATCAATTAGCCTTGCGGGAAGGGGGGCTGAGTGGAAAAATATTGAGTAAAGAATATCTCTGAAAATATTGAAGGGGTGTTCTTCAAACTAACCAAACCAAAAATGTACATCACAAAAGAAACAAAATGACACCAGTTGTGGTGTCGCCATGACAACAGTTTTGCCGCTGGTCCTCACTGCATGAAATAGGCCCTTTGCAGCTAAGCCATCACGTGACCTGTTTTTCATAAAATTATGGGCTACAACTTAAAG